GTGGTAGTAGTAGTGGTACTAGTAGTAGCAATAGTAGTAGTAGTAGTAGTAGTAGTACTAGTACTAGTACCAGTACTAGTAGTAATATTAGTAGTGGTAGTAGTGGTAGTGGTAGTAGTAGTAGTAGTAGTACTACTACTACTACTACTACTACGAATACTAGTACTAGTACTAGTACCAGAACTAGCAGTAGTAGTAGCAGAAGTAGTAGTTTCGTTCCGCTGCACTAACCACCCTTGCTATGCTGCTGCTGCACCTGCCACTGTCGCTGCTACTGCTTCTGCTAGTGCTGCTGCTGCTAATGCTACTGCTGCGACAGCTTAAAAGAGTTTAAGGTTTAAGGTTTTGCGGGATGCGGAGGTTCAAGGACTGGTGTCTGAATGTATAGACTGTAGTGCATCGTATTACAACACTATATACTCTAGTTTCCACAGCAAGATGCCTGTGCTGAGGAGGTATGCATGAGGACACATGCCAAGCTGTGGCAGTCATTTCTGCTCAATGTAGGTTTTGGGCAAAGCCTTCTCGCAGACTGCCTCAGAACAAGAACAAGTTCTGCGGCCTTTGTGGCAGCAATGGCCACAACTGCCGGGTTTGTCCTTTTCCGGTTGCTGCCTTGGTTGCCACTCGAGATAAATTCGCTCTTTCAAGACTTTATGACGCATTGCAGGAACAGCACGAAAAAGTTGTTCGCACGCGGCCGATGCCTTTCCCTGAAGCGCTTTCCTCACAACAAAATCTGTTTTCACCGAGGTCAAAACACAAAGTACACGGTAAGTACAGTCTCCCACCCCCCCTCCCCCCCGAGACAAAAAAGGCATTCCAACGCCGAGGCCATACAAACCCAAGCCTCGACCGAAGTCCAAAAAGCCATTTTGTCAGGAATTCCGTAAAGACATGCTGGAGGACACTCGTGCAATCAAATGCCTTCAAAACCTTGTTTTCGCCTCGAAAAAACCGCCGGAAAACTTGTTCCAAAGATGAAACGATGAAGAAAAGATGGCCCGAAAACTTGAGCCGGTGTGCAAGGCTGTCTCCCAAAAATTCTGCTAAAGCAGAACTCGTCGTTTTATCTCGACAAAGCTGCCATGTTGCTCTAAAAGGCACCCCTGCTATCCCTCGGGTCGTTTCAGGGTGTTTATTTTGCTTAAGACCCGCAGCTTGGTCCAATTAGGAAAATCGCACTTGACCTCAATGGAGAATTCAACCATACTTTTGGCAAGTCTTTATGCGAGATGATTGCAACACGATTCAGCAAACCCGATATGTTGGCTTCAACTACACACTTCGTAAGATAACAGATAGATATGTTAGATGTCGATCTGTGTGGATACTGTTTGCATGGGGGGGGGGTCTCAGTGCTGTGTTTTCATGTTTGCATGGACTCAGCAGGTGCTGACAGTACGGAGCGCTGATCAGTACAATAACAGCAGTTCACAACACAATTGTCGCATACATGATTGTTTAGTAGTCATCATTTGCTTGGTGTAACATTTTGACAGCGAGTTTTCACACAAAGACGACACCCAGTTCGACCAACGAAGGAATGGACATAACATACTGTAATTCATGCACAGACTTCAGATGAACTAAATTCAGAACAAGCATGTAACGGTTTTTGGAAAAGGGGCAAAATATCAAGAGCCAACAAACTGCATACAAAGTTTAACCGGCAGCCACATATTGAATTGTCGCCTGAAAAAATGTGAATACCAATTGTTGCACAATGCTCCCATTACCCAGAGCTAATCGTACAGGTCTGATTTACCCACAAAAAGGGATTTAGGAACAAATAAGAAACGAAGAGGTTCAGAATGTTCAATGGGTTAGTAGCACGGTAACGGGGATTTTGGTAATGGTAACTACAACACTGGTAAATGCAAAACTTAAACTACACTGACTACACTTGATACGATAATTTGTGCATAGCAGAATGTATTCGTAATTTGAGTATGGCTGAAAATGAAAGTGGGGATTGGATAGGCCGGATAGGCGTATAGGTGAATGACGATCATAGTTCCAGTACACATACCGATAACCGTTCTAAACAATAGTGGGTCACGAGTGGCTATGAATAGCTGCTGTTGCAGAGATTAGCTGTTTTTTCTCAAAACACTTACGATTCTAATCTAATGGTGTTGAGATTACAGCTATGCCGGCATTTATCTGGCAATATGGACCAACGTTAAGCTACTGGCAAGAGGCTGCAAAACAAATGAACAATGATTGAAATGATTGCGTAAGGTGGAAGCCTGGAAGCTCAATAACAGTGTCTTGGTGTGAAAACGATAACGAAAGCTGATTAAACATAACGTCTACTCAGCTTGAAAAGAGTAGGAATCACGGAAGAATCACATGTCTATGGTCAATGATTGATACTTCGGCGAGATCCGTTGCAGTTGTTACTCATTTATGGGCTCAGTAATCCCGATCGTTTATGGGCAATGGCCAGCACAACAACTGAATGAGATAATTTGTTCCGAAACCGCTACTGGTACCTGAAGATTTAAAAGAAAGAAGTTTTCAGAAGGGTTTAAGCCCATTAGTAAATTTCAGAAATTGAAAAAGAACTGTATAGACGCTTCAGTATAAGGTTTACGGTTTAAGGCTGTGGTGCTGAGATCTCCGGCAAGAGCGCACGCGCGCAAGGCCAAAGATGAAGGACGAGACCAAAAAACCAAAGATCCAGAGAGAATGCAGGAACTGTTTTATGTTTTTGGTGCTTCGGTTTGTTGTTTTATTGTTGTTTTGGCTCTTTGGCTTTTTGGTTCTGGTTGTACAGGGTTTTCGCAATGCAAGACAGTTATCCATAGCCATAGTAATCGGAATGCCAAAACCAAAAAAAGGCAAACCAAATCCAAAACACCAAAAAAAAAACAACACAGTTCCTGCATTCTCTCTGGATCCTTGGCTTTTTGGTACTTGGGTCTCAAGCTGGGGGTTTGAAGCCACACGAATACAAACCAACAGGGAAGCACAAATACCAATGCAGTTCCGGCATTCTCTGCGGATCTATGTTTTTTTGGTGGTTGGTGTCTTCCGGTGGAGTGGCTAAAGCCAGCCGAAAGCAGGGCTTGAATCCTGAACGCACGACAAAGGGTTTTACAGTGGGTGGTCTGTTAAGGGGGGGGGTGACGATAGATAGAGAGAGAGAGGGAGAGAGAGAGACAAAGAGAGAGAGAGAGAGAGAGAGAGAGATATATATATATATAGATAGATCGATCGATCGACAGATAGATAGTAAGATAGATATGCAAGCATGCATGTATTTTTGTTTGTACGTCTCGTCTGTCTGTATATACATATGCACTTACAGTTCGTTTAAACAAGTAAATTCAAATCAACCTGCGAATAAGCATGAAAACACACATACTCGTAAGCATAAGGATCAACTCACACATAAGTTTGTGTCAAATACTATATATATATATGTGTGAATATGAGTGTGTGTGTGTGTGTATAGATATGTATAGATACCAGTGAGTTCGAACGCGTGCTTTTTCTTTTCTGCGCTACACATGAACTTTGTAGATGCACCCGCTTACTTCTTATTTTGGCTTACTATTGCTGGGGTGCATATTCGGATCGATTTCATCTTTTTTTCAAGGCTTGCTTCGGCTGTTTAGTCATTGCTGAGTTCGGTGGGCTCGATCACCCAACAGAGATCCCAAACCTTGCAAAATCCACGACCCCAACGGCCCTATGAATCCTGAAACACCCAAGCAACCACAGATGCGGAAACCAAGGACCCCCGAAACCTCTGTAATACTCTTGCCGCTGCTCAGTCCCCTAACTAATCGTTCGATCGATCTTATAAACGACCTTGTTCAACGTACCTTCTTATGAGGTATATAACCCTAAGGGTCCAAGTAGTCCTTATTTGTGGCCTGTTGCTACCCATAAAAGCCCCAAAGTCCTTAAATAATGATTACTTGGACCCGTAGGGAAAGGTTCTGTAGATACACCAGGTAATCAGCAAAGCTCCGATCTTTACATGGATTACGAGGTTGTGTTCACTGGCTGTCTTCGGATGCTTCAAGAAGCCTTTCAGGGTGCCCAGGCCGACTAAATAAGAATTGTTCCACGTTTACTTTTTTATCCGTACTACAAAAAATGTATATAGTACCTTTTCCCACGAATAGAGAAAAGTAAGGGGACGAACCTACTGGCCTATAGAGATACATACACTGTATACACACACACACACCGTGGCCGAGCGGTCGAACAACATCATGCTGCTAATGTGTGCGGCTTAAGGAAAGGACACGTAGCGAGCTTTCTTTCCTGGTGCAGGAATTGGGCCTGTTAGTCCTGCTATTTCGGGCGGCGCCTACTTGCTCTTGAAGAACTACAAATGCGCATACCCCAGACTAATCCGCACCCCGCTTATGCTGAGAAATCTGGGCCTCCCCCTTAAAAAAAAAGGGTTGCTCAACACCGGTCTTGAATCCAACGTGCATCACAGGTGTGGTTCTTGCTCGGGTCTCGCTTGGTACAGGGATCTGGGTATATGTTGGTGTCGGAAGTTTGAAATTCTGTGTCGCTCGAGGTCGAAGTGTAGTAGCACAACCCCTGTCCACATGACGGCTCGCGGCCGCAGGGCGGTAGGGATTCATGGCATTAGGGTCTGATGGCAGCAAGGTTGACGTAAGGTCTTTGGTCTCACCAGGCCTCGTTGTTACCGCTGCCGGATCTGTCGACTGTGATTTTACCCTCGCCGGAGCCATCTGTGAGGTTAATCTCCATGCAGGACCCAGCTGCCAATTTGATCACCATTGCCTCGCAAGCATCGCCGCCTTCTCCGTCTGCACAAAAGAAGTAGGCGCTGGCGTTTTCTGGAAATTCGAAGTTGGCGTCTTTGCAAGAAGTCTGGCCTTTGCATTGGACACAGTGTGTGCCATCGCCTGTTGGCTGGAACCTGAAATAGGTTGAACTGCTGGCACAGGTGACTCCGTGATTACTGTCACCAGGACACTCTGTCGGCGCGTCGGCATCACAGATCAGGTCACCGTCCAATGAGAAGTCATACTGGTAGCATGCTTGGTATCCTGACATTGCGAGCGTGACAGCTCATTACGGATCGAGTTTCAACAAACCGACTGCAGCGACGAAGGTTGGGTGAAGTTGCCTGAGCGCCCAGCCGAGTTTCATCTAAGGGGTTCCCCCAGCTCCTCAACTCAACCTTCAAGCTCAAACCTATGACCCCATCCTAGCGAGCCGTCCTTTGCAAGTAAGCGAGCCGACATTCGTCGCTTTGCCGGTGTTGCACGTCTGGTATCCAATGCAGCACATGTCGCCGGAACACACTGTATCTGCCGCCTCCAAACGCGCAAGAATCAGCACGGCGAAACATCATTCAAAAACACGAATACATGCTGCTCAATGCAATGGTGTTGCTTTGAAGCCGGCTATATCCGGCAACACGATACCATGAGCTCAAAACAGACATATGACACATGCACCGAACGAAAACAACACAAGCCAACAAGCAACCACGAATAAGTAATTTTGTTTGATCCCGGGTCATTGATCTCTTGGTGCCACGGCACATTTTAGCAATTTCCACAGTCCTTCTGATCTTTATCGACAACTTGTTTTTTGCCGACATGTGCAACAATTTGGGACTTGCGGTATGATCTTTGAGGACGGCCACATCCGTAGAAACGGGTATATGCAAGATCCTGAAGCTCACTCTATCCTCGCTTGCAACTGACGGGAACATCGTCATGTTACAACCACACCTACAGCCTCTAAAACTCTGAATCATAAGTCCTTAACCGCACAGCCTCAGCCCCAAAGCAAGCTTGCTTCGGTTTCGACTGTGTGCGACTAGAGAACAGTGGACAACTTTCCCCGGGACGCGGCTCCCCCTGTGGTGTTTTGAACTCCCTACTGCCTGCATCCCCCCGAAAGCCAGATTCATGGCAAATTCTAGCACATCCGGCACCTGTTGGCCTCGAAAACTCTCCGAGCAAAGACCACCCTAAACCCCCCAAACCCCCTAAACCCCCTAAACCCCCTTAAACCCCCTTAAACCCTAAATCCTAAAATCGACTCGACTCTTGGCCTCTCTTGTGCTGCGATCTGCCAGGGTAAAGTCGGCCTTGGAACCAAAAAAAGCTCGGAACCCGGTCGTTTGGGGCTCGTTTTGGGTCTAAGGCTGAACCCTAAACCCTAAACCCCTCAACCCCTAACCCCTAAACCCTAAACCCTAAAACCCTAAACCCCTAAACCCTAAACCCCTAAACCCTAAACCCTAAAGCTCTCTGGCTTCCAGGTTGGATTCCGCTTGGATGAGTGGAAGCTTCCAGGGTCAAGGGATATCCGTAGATGCTCTTTGCACTCTTGATGGTTTATACAGGGTTCAGGGTTTAGGGATTTAGGGATTTAGGGGTTCAGGGGTTTAGGGGTTTAGGGATTTAGGGATTTAGGGGTTTAGGGATTTGGGGATTTAGGGGTTTAGGGGTTCAGGGTTTATACAAAATTGTATAGGGTTTGGGTCCGGGGTTTTGAGCGAAAGTTTTGACCGCTGACCGGGCCGGGCCGGCCCTGGGGGCTGTGCTCTGGGCTGGGCTTAGGGTTTAGGGTTTAGGGTTTAGGGCTTAGGGCTTAGGGTTTAGGGTTTAGGGTTTAGGGTTTAGGGTTTAGGGTTGGTTGAAAGTTGACCGAAGTTTCGCATTTGCTTTTCATTTTTGGTTTTGGCGGGCTGGGGCTTGCAAAGCAGGACCTGCGCTGTCACGGCATACAATTTCTATTTATCCTGTCTTGAGGGTTTAGGGTTTACGGTTTAGGGTATAGGGGTTTATGGTTTAGGGTTTATAGGGGGGGTTATATCGGTTGGGGTTTATAGGGCTTAGTGTGCATTCACCAAAGACCTGTCAAGTGCCAAGTGGTCGCCTCGAAGTTCGGACCGACAGTCCCTAAACCCTAAAGTGACCTTAGACCCCCAAAGGTGCTCCAACTGATACTCAACCAGGCGCTAATCCTAAATGCGGTTCAGGGGATTTCAGCATTGGGGCTTGGGATTCCAGATTTGGGGCTTCCTGTGCTGAAAAGCTGAAATATAGCGCGAGGCAGGGGTAGCTCTTCGTGTAGTTAATTCGCCTCGGCCCCGGCCGAAACGGTCAGAGGTTGTCACAGAGACTTTGTCCCTGTTTCCCCCACCTCTTAATCCCCTCCGCTTCCCTCGTCTCTTCCTTGCGGAAGGCAAGACGGGCTAGCTTACATCATTCGTGAAGCTGCTGCCAAAGCCTGGGAATTCTGGGGATGTGTCTTGATTCCCCTTCCAACATATGGGAGCTTGTATACGAGACCAGTGAGAAGCGTCATACGATGATTATAGTACTATATAGTAACGTCTATGGCATAATGTACGGAATGACCTTTCGCGTGGTCAGCATGGAAACAAATACTGACATTCAACAACATTCTGAAGCAGATGCGGGCCGAGGCGGACGACGCGGAGCCTTTGAAATTTGTCAGAAAATCCCCTTGCAGCACCTTTCATACAGTAACCTACAGTAACATTGTAACAACCCCCCAAACCCGAATTTAGGACTGGAAGTTTCGGCGTCGGTGCTTGAGGTTGTTGGTCAGCGGCTTGAGTATAACAGTTTTTCTCTGATGTGTAAGTGGAAGTAGCAGCCCTTAGCCCAAAATCCCTAAACCCTAAACCCTGAACCCAAAGCCTAAGCCCTACACCCTAAACCCCTAAACCCTAAACTCTAAACCCTAAACCCGGCCCGACAGCCGCAAAATCTGAAGCCCAGCAGCCGTATTATAGCAGGTTTGGCCGTCTGGATTGCCATTCTCGCAACAAACGGCTCCCATTCCGCGGATGTCGACACTGTTGTAACCTCCAACACGCAGATTAGCTGTGGAGCCCCGGCTTTGAAGCCCACGAAACAAAGATGTACGGTTTAGGGTTTAGGGTTCCCGGGCCATGTTGCGATATGCTCCTAGAATAGTGCACACTCCTGTAAACCGTTCGCACAGGCTTCACAATGAAGAGGCTCGACAAGCCGGTCGTCAAAGTTTTGAACTTGCCGACGTAAGGCCACCACATCCACAACATCAACACCAGCACAAGCACCAGCGCTAGCACCAGCTAGAAGGAGAACTAGAGCTAGGGATAGAGCCGCAACAACGACGACATCAAAAACAAACAACACAACAAACTCCTGGTGTGGAAAAAACCCTAAACCCTAAACCCTGGTTCCCCCTCGTGATGCCATTTTACATTAGGGTTTAGGCTTGGGTTCAGGGTTTAGGGTTTAGGGTTTAGGGTTTAGGGCTTGAGCTGCAGGTGTGCATCCTGCAATGCACAGACTGAGAAGGGAGACCGAACGAGACAGAGAGAGGGAGAGAGAGAGAGAGACCAAATTAGAATAGGATTTTGGGGTACTTTTAGATTATACTATAACTATACTAAGAAACCCTCAAAATAGTACAGGTTGTTATTAAGGCCCCTAACATTATTCCATGGCCAACCCTGCGGATCCAAGTTCTTCTGAAGTATGTCACTTCGCCCCTTCTAAAAACGCCCCTGTGGGAGCTGCATAGGGTTTAAGGTTTAGGGTTTCGGGGTGGGTGAGTGTGTGTGTGTGTGCATAATAAACCTTGCACGTGTATGTACATATATATATACATATACATATATATATATAGATAGTACACACACATAGGTATCCGGACCTATAAGGTACACTCCCAAATCCGTCAGTTGGTGTTAGCGGCGGCGAGGAAGGCGTGTGAACCTAAATACTTAAACAAAGTGACACGGCATTAAGACGAACAACTCTTACTTTACAAAGGCGAGGGGCATGATTGGTAGTGATAGCAGGCCATGATGTCGCCCGGGTCGCGGAAGTTCCAAACTCCCGAACTGCTGCCGAAGCATACCTTGTCTTCTTGAAGGCGCATGGGTTTTGTAACTAAGTAGACTCATTTGCCATAAGGATACACAAACAAAAAAAATCACAAGTAGAGTTGGCTTACGTACAATGCAGCCTCCAAATACGACCCTACACGTTCGGCTGAGGGACTCCGCAAGTCAATTCAAACTCCCGATCTCGCCAGCCCGGAGTCCCACGCACCCATACTGCATAAACCATCCCCTTAAACCCTAAACCCTAAACCCCCTAAGCCCATCCCGTAAACCCTAAACCCCAAGCCCGCCAAGAGTCTGCAGAAGCAGAATTGCCAGTGGGTGTACAGGTCTCAGCGCACCAGGACAAGGGGTGCCGGCTCGGGGCCAGGACAAGAAGACGCTAGTAACCATTAGTCACAAGGGTTTGGGGTTTGGGGGTTTAGGGACATTAGTAATAACAATAATGATTAGTATTAAAGTAGTAGTAGCAGTAGTAGTAGTAGCAGTAGTCGTCGTAGTGGTAGTAGTGGTAGTAGTAGTAGTAGTAGTAGTAATTGTTTTAGTGGTAGTAGTGGTAGTAGTAGTAGTAGTAGTAGTAGTAATTGTAGTAGTAGCAGTAGTAGTAGTAGTAGTAGTAGTAGCAGTAGTAGCAGAAGTAGCAGTAGCAGTAGCAGAAACAGTAGCAGTAGCCGTAGCAGTAGTAGTAGCAGTAGTAGTAGCAGTAGTAGTAGTAGTAGTAGTAGTAGGAGGAGGAGGAGGAGGAAGAGGAGGAGGATCGATCGCCCTCGTTTGCCCAGCTTTCTCTGTTGCTCAGGTCTGCATCGTGCCATGTCCAGTGCTTGCATGCTCACACCATGATAACGTCCATGCTCGCAACCCATCGATTCGGCCAGTGCATCCATGCCCACACCATGATGACGTCCATGCTACCCACCCATCCATTTTCCAGTGCATCCATGCCCACACCATACCAATGTCCTTGCTACCCACCCATCCATTGGCCAGAGCATCCATGCCCAAGACTTTCGCCCATGCTACCAACCCATCCATTGGCCAGTGCATCCATGTCCAAACCATACTAACGTCCATGCTACCAACCCATCCATTGGCCAGGGCATCCCAAATCATCATAACGTCCATGCTACCAGCCCATCCATTGGCCAGTGCATTCATGACCAAACCATTTATCAACGCGTGTTTCCGCACAAAAACATAGTTGTGTTTTTTGTTTGCAGTTTGCGCTGCGCCTATCATCATAACCGTAACGCCATGTTGAGCAATGGAGCGAGAGTATCGGCCCCGCTAGGTTTTCCCAACATTGCTCGAAGCCGGAGTGAAAGAACGCATTGTGCAGAACCTGGCCTTAAGCCTCCATCCCGTCCTGCCACTGCACTTCCCTGTCAAAATCAAGAACCTCGGCCGCGCAGAAGCATCGAGTCTTTTGCGTGCTTTGCTCCGCATACCATCATAACCGGGACGCCCTGTTCAACAATACTCACGTGCGAAAGTATGGGCCCTGCCATGCTTTTCGCGCGCTGGTCGAAAACAAACGGGGGCAACCGACGGTGATCCTAGTGGTATTAGTAGTAGTAGTAGTAGAAGAAATAATAATAGTGATAGTAGTAGTAGTAGTAGTAGAAGAAATAATAGTGGTGGTAGTTTCCACCCCCAAAGACACCCCGCCCCAAGCCCCGGCCTGCCTAACCCCCAGGCGCCCCCTTTTCCTTACAAATATGCGGCAACAAAAAACAAGAATAGGAGCAGAAAAAACAATGGTCACAAAAATAGGCCCTCCCTTTCAGTTTGCATGGAAGCTGTAACTACCACGGCAAGCCATGAGTTCCTTGTCCCATTCTTGCTTGAGCGGGGCCTTCAACCAGTGCGGGCCCATCGGCAGTCTTCTGGAAGTCAATGATCAGCAGCAAGCATGCATGCCTTAGCAGTGAACGCCTGAGAGATGAATTTAGAATCTCCGGGCAGTGTCAGAAATCAGGAATGGCAATCAGGATAAAAGAGCTACAGCGACACTGAGCATTACTGGCCGCCGTTGAAAGGACGGGCTGCTTTCCGTGCCTCTTGATAAGCAGCTCGAGAAGCCTAGGCAGGCAGCCCGCCATACAAGAATGGTCGTTACTCGGTACACTCTGGGGAAAGTTTATGCTATGTACAACTGTATGTACATATATATATATGTATATATATGTATGTGTCTGTGTATATATATATATACACACACATGTATCTATTCACAGTATACGCTATCCCCGTCGAAAACCCACGCCAGAAGCCGAATCGGTAGTATCCATAAGTATCTAGAACTGCGCTCCCGCCGCAGTGCCGTGCAGATTCTGGGCGCGGTCGCAAAAATCACATCCACGCCATAGTCCCATGTAACATCAATAGGCCCTAGGATGTTAAACAACACTAGCGCAATTGTTGTATAATTGTCGCTTGAAGCTCTTACCAGTATTCGCGGTTGCTTCAAACAGCCTCCACAATCTCTGGCTCGTTTGGCTATGGCCGTCCCCATCTTCATATGTGCCACAACCTGGATACATGCTGTCTTATAGACCAGACATCCGCGCGACTTCGTGCGCGATCTTTCACATATACGGATGCGATGACTTTGTGGAAATCTTCAGTTTCGAAGCGCATGCAAGCATCCGGTGCGATTTCAGGGATGCCGTCTTCAAAGGCGGTTGCAAGTACATATTGAGTTATGTATAGAAGCACAACACATGTAAGAGTTTGCTGCCGTATTCAAGGGTGCCAATCCAATACCATGGCCTCAGAAAAAAACTATTCGAAAATCAACAATGTTGCTACATCGAGTACAGTGAGACATGCAGTGAACGTGGTTGTGAGGGTCATATTGAATCAGCCCCTTTATGGAATGAAGGTCCCCAAGTAAAGCGGGCTTGTGCAAATGGTGCGTTATTATTCAGGCTTGCAATCCCGATGGCTACGAGCAATACTAAAACGAACATGGAGGATGATTGCACGTGTCGTATGTGTCATGCCACTCGTATGAGAGATGTCCAGGAGTATCAGTTCCTCGCCCCAAATTCGTGCCCCCGCCACAGTGCTGTGCGTATTCTGGGCGCAACCCGTGTTTCCGCATCTTCAATAGAAAACTCAAGATATTCAAAAGCAGCCTGAGCAGCCTCAGCACACCCGACATGCACGGAACATTTCAGCCCTCATCACTACTAGTTAGAGTCGGTACTGAAATTCTACTCGTAGTCCTACATGCCCTCCCATGGAATGTATCGAGGAACCGGACAGAACCGAACCGGTAGTGAGGCTCACATTGACAAGTCTGACAAAACCTGCCCATCTGGGACATATATTGAAGATTGCAGTGGGGGCAATCGTTGGGAGTATATTAGTGTAATACTCCTCGTATAAGGAATGCATGCGGTCACAGAACATGGGCCGTGGACTTATACAGGAATGTATATGGTGACCTGTAAACTTCATCACGTCGAAAACCGCCTTTAGTACCGAAAATATCGGGACGGTTCCTTCCCAGTGAATAGGTTCCAGATTTCCAGATTTGACGGCTTACAGATGCCCAAATCTGAAGCAGTTCAAGAATTCCAGATTTGACGGGCTAATCATGCCATAACTCCAGCCTTTCCAAATCTGGAATTATTCCAAGAATCCAGATTCGACGAGCTTATAACTACTGCGACAAAGCCTTGAAGCAGCGAGCAGTAACGACCAGATCATTGTGGCATCGCGAAGTCAGTCATGCGAGAGCATGCTGCTACAGGAAGCTGCGCGGAAAGCTGTACCAGAACACAGCATTTTGAGGAACCTCTAATCCAGATATCCACAATCCCAGATTCTCAAATTTGGAATAATTTCATATTTCCAGTCCAACTATATTCCCCAAATTCCAGATTTTCAAGGCTGGGTTTGCTCCAAATTTGCTAATCTGGTGTTCTGGAACTTTCCAAGACTTAGATCCGGCATGTTTTTTGGGGCGGTGCAGACATACAAACAAAGAAGAACACATGAACATATATGCTACATTTATTGGTGTTGCTTGTCTTTTTAAAAATGCTTTCGTGTTGCAGAACTGCTCCAAGGTTGCGCTGCTGGTTTCCTGCCGTGCATAGCATTTGCATGTGGCCTTCCTGTCTCGTGCGATTCACGGGAAATTTCCACCTTATACTTAACTTGTGATTCGCTGCCATGTCCAATTTTGAACAACAGCATTGCAGACAAGTGATATATGCAGACACTGAATATGGTTGCATGCAATGCTGCATATGATGTATGCTCCTACGAAAGAGCTGAGTTCACCTATACGTGATCAGTTTTCATGTGTGTATACACGGACGGATTCCACTACGTAGTTTTGGCAATAAAGAAAGTATACATTGCAAGCAACAGCTTACTTACATATTATTCCAATTTCCGTATGTGCTGTATATAAACGCTTGTAGTAAATATGTCACATGTATGCAAATCTGGCATTAGTCAGACATGTACCCATTTATTCATGGATGTGTCCTTGTGTATCTTGATCGCTGTTACAGGTGCTTCCACAAAGGTACACATGTGCAATGTTGCTGGTGAGCCCCTAGATAGATAGTCCGGTATTTCGAGATAAACAGAAAGCGATACATCAAGACATTGAACATGGTTACATGGAATTTGCTCGTATGGCAGCATTTAGTCTGCACATAAATAATGAGGTTGTGTATACACCGACGGATGCCGCTAGTTTTGCACGCATAGAAAGCTTGCCGAAAGTTTATATTCCAGAAAAGATCACAATTTCCACAGTGCCAACATGTGCAGCATTCTGAATCGCTGATGGCTCGGGAGAGGCTGGAGACAGGAGAAGCCCCCGGGTTGAGGTTGGCCACCCCCGAAGCAAGACAGAAGAGTAAGAGAGAGGCGAAGAAGCCTCCTGGGGCGGAGAGAGCGACCAAACCTTGAGCACCGGCGTTGAGCCAAAATGGCTATCTCTCTCTCTTCGCCAGGGCATAGGGAGCTGTTTAGGCCCCCGCTAGGCCCCCCATGTGTTATGGGGCTTTGAGGAGGCGTGAAAAAGTTCCACCACATCGGGGGTGGCCGGAACACACAAGGATAAGTTAACACAAGGCAAGCTTTCCCCCGATGTGTCGGCGTAGCTACATGACAACACAGCAAGCATGATTGTCCCCCGGTATGAACTGTGCTCTGAGTTGAAAGCTCTCTTTACGTATGATATTGACGGTATATATGAACTCCCAGCATGAAGCCTTTCTGTCGCCGAGTCGCTCCGGAACTACCTTAAGCTCCTGTGTCGTGGGCACGGTTCGCACGAAGAGAACTGGCTTCGATGTGGCATCGATGTTGTTGAAGCGACTGATGCCTGCAAGGCATGCTGACTTACCAATACTGTCGTTGCTGCACTGCATCAGCAGCCCGTCTCTTCACGTGCAATACGTACGTGCTGTTCCCAGAAGAGTGTTCACAAGATTTCGGGTTTGCCCCATGCAGCTCTGCAGGATTGTGTGCAGCAACCGGGCTGCGACATCCAACAAGTATGCCCCAGACTCCAGAACTCCACGCTCCGACACGTCGTGACTGAGAATGATTGAGAGAAAGTGCGGAAGCTTCAACACGCTGTGACGGTGAAACAAGCCTTCCATCCCTTGCAAAGTCGAGAACCGTGACATATTGTCTGAACTGAGACCAGGACGGCGCTGGTATCTCTCGTGCATGCCGGGATCAGTCGGGTCATCATGCCAGAAGGAGTGGTAGTAGCTCCTGTACCTCAGCCACCGTCCAACCTGGTATCTTCAGGCTTCATCGTGGCCGGGGACTTCCTGTACCGAGGAGCCCTACAGCCAGGCACTACCTTCACTACCTGCAACCGCGGTACGTTGTCATGCTGACGCCAGGCACTACCTGCCGGCACTTCAGCAGTCAGAGTGATACAGTCTCACTGCATTGCTTTCCTGGCTACTGGCCCGTCAACCTTGAAAGAGTCTAATACATGTCCTGCCACATTGGCAGCCTTCTTGGAATTGAATTCGAAGAAGCCTGAGCACTGCAATGGCAGCTTGGCAAACGTGACGATGCATCCGCAGGCAAAGGCACCATTCCAACCAGTGCTCTCGTCCCAGCCATTCCGCAAGAAATGCACCAAACCCTGCCAGAATGTTGGCCACTTGAGCGATCTGACACCAACAGAACCAGTTCGACCGGAAATTTGTCTGCGATATTCTGTGCCCTTGAAAAACTCCCGCCTCATGCCGTGTTCGCATCCAGTCAAAGGGCAGTGTCTCAGCACCTCTGCCGATGTTCTTGAAGGAGAGCTTCCTCAGCCACAGATGCACTGCAGCTTTCGCATCTCGAGGCGACAGCTTCATGCTTGCCGGAGAACGGGCCACAGAAGCAACCCAACGAAACCAGCATTATCTGCTCCGTCCTCAGCGTACAAGAATGTTGATGTGGCTCCGTGCTAATGTAGATGCATGCGCTTTGCAAGTGCATGTGAACTTTTAGGTGACATGCTCGGCATCCACCCGGCTTTCACCGTCCGGCAGCTGGTCCATCATGTCAGATTCCTAGATCTTCGACCAAAGCATAGTTACCACGAGCATGATTGGGTTGGAGAAATTCTGGGGCTGCTGCCTGCATACCCGGCTCCCACCTTACTTGCAGGGCCGCAACAGGTCGCTCTGGGTGGTCGCAATGCCTAGAAGTCCGTCCCTTGCATCAAAGTCGCTTCGCCCTGCTTACCACCTTCACTGTCGTCGCCTCAGGCAGGCATGGTCCAAGGCCCGCGTCTGAGAAACGCATTGAAAAATCCAAGCGACCATGAGGTGATGACAGAGGCCGCTGGCATATGCTAGCAAGCTGTGTCTTTTGCTGCAACGGAACCACTAGTTGACCAGAAGCTTATGTCACTGCCTCCTCGCAAGGGCAGGCCTGTCTGGGTTTCTTTGTGTGCTTGCTGGGCTTTCCTCAGTAAGGCATGGCGGAATCGGATGGGGTCGCTCTGGCTCTCAGTTTGTCCATGTACTACCTCACGATCTTGTACCATGGCGCCAAACATCTCCCTCTGTGTTGGTTTGAGCGCTCTTATCCTGCGGACGTCGGCTCGCCCTGGAATACCTGAAGCCGTGTGAACCTTCTCCCATGCACGTGCACAGACATAGACATCATAGACCGAACGTCCATCAATTACCCTTGAACTGCCACTCCCTGAGTCGCAGCCCGACTCAAGCTGTTTCGGACTTGCTTTGCCTTGACTTCGTATCTCAGGACCGCAGCCGAAAGACCTCATGTCGTAGTCGTCCTTCCAACTCCAACGAAATGTGTCGGGGTCCCCTTGCGAAGAGGAAAGTCGCGGGACTGCGGCGAAAGCATGTCTTCCGGAGGCGGAAATGCACAGGACTGTGTCGGTAGTGCGGTGAGGCAAAAAGTGGCGCGGCTCTGCTGCGACTTCAAAGTTTTCCAGCGATTCGAAGTCCAAAATACGAGAGGCACTGTTACTGTGACGGGAGCTCGGAGACCCCACCTCAAACCCTGCACGCTCATTGGTCATTCGGGGAGAGCAGGAAACCGTCATCTTACACTGAAAATGTCATCCTGGGTGGACGAGGTTCCGCAGGAGACAGTGGCAAGAACACGATTTTCGAGCAAGCCCAGCAACGCCCAACAGTGGGAGCGTTCGCTGACACAGCTCGGTGCCAGTGACAGTGTTACCACAGTGCGAACACTTAATTCAAGACCCGAAACTGTCAGTTGATTGGAATTGAGGGTTCACCTCGTGCAAAGACGGGGTCAGTTCCAGGTCACATCCGTTCGGCTGCTTTTTCCCGCAAGTGCGCAAACCCGGCTGCTTCGCCAGCTTGCCAAATTGGCGGAAATGACGGGAGGCGTCAAGACATCGATGCAGGCTTGTTTGATGCTATCTGCGAGGCTCGTAATTAGGCATGGTCACCATCAATCTTAGCGCGGAACTGGCCTGCAAACGCCATTCAGCACTCTGTGGCTCTTGGAGCGAGATGAGTGGAATGAGTGGTGATGTACCTGATACCCATCAAAAAGGCTCTTATCTGCCTTCAAACTTTAGCACTTTTAGCCAACGCAGCCCAGAGGAGCAGGAGGCCAAATTCGTGCAGTGCCTATGAGTCGGCCCCTGCATGGGATGCACGTGAATTCCAGACGCCCACAGCCATAAGAGGCCCAGGGCCCGTACCTAACATTATGAGATAGGAACTGAACCAAAATAGCCTGTAGCTTGCAGTAGCTCGCTGCGGTCTTGGATGGAACTGCAGACGCGCTCGCACTGCGACAGTTGTCGCCTGTCAAGGATCTGTGAGAGTCAAGATGAAGCTTTGCAGCTACAGGCCAGGCATGCAGGTGCTAGACAGATTGAATTAACGGGGGGCTGTTTCAAACGTTGATCCTTTTTTCCCCGTTAGGGTATATCATTCCTCGCAGAGTTTAGAACAACCCCCGATTGTTTCCATGCTTTCCCAAGGTCTGAAGAGCCTGTCTTAGACCTCACACTTGCAGAAGGACGGCATGGGTCGCGGTGGAGGTGAACCTAGGATACACACTTGTGATGTGCAGGTGATCACACGGACGAAGAAGCTAGAAAGTAGCCTCTGTATGATTAGTGGGGCTAGCGGCAGTGCTGTTAAAATCGGTTTCAACGCCCTTGATGCCCTTGATCTGTGCAACAACCCGTGTGAAACTTTGGGCAGGGCATTGGACTGTGGATTGTGGAAGCCCTGTCTTGATTTGCTTGCTACCTGTGTGGTTTGAATATCTCTGCCCCCCTTGCCTCTTCCCCTTTTCCTTCACCCCTACTTTCAGCCTATGCCTCACGAGCACCAAAAAGGCCATTCTACAGGATACAGGATGGCTTAGACGGTTTTTGGCATTCATGCTGAGCACAACCACTAGTGTGCAAGCATGGCAGTGCTTAGCGAACGAGGTGTGTTGAATCCGCTTAGTGGTTCCCATTTCGCACTAACGGCCGGTAGGATACTCCTCAAGCCAAGGATGACGTTAATGTTGTCCGATTCAGTCCGCGTCCACTCCTTCAGCTTGTCCTGTCATTCGAAAGTCCGACGTGTAAGGCTCTGATACGCGGTCAACGTGCTTTGCTGGCTCCAATCGTGCCGGTAAGACCACGGGGCTTGGCGCCTCGGGGTCGGCATGAGCTATCCAGAACGCGAATCATACTCGTGCCCCCGCGTAGGGCCTCGCGAAACCCCGAGCAACCCGTGACAAACCATAGAAGTCAGCGGAAGCGGCGTGTGCTGCTGGCAGGAGCTGCTCCAAAAGATCCACAAACCTTGGAGCTTACGAAAACCATCTGTTGCAGACTTGCTGTACCAGGACCACAGTCGAACATAAAGGACGTAGTCGAGCTTCTCAGGAAGGCTGGTGTCCATGGCTTCCTGTAGGGATTTGCTCCAGGTGCCGCTCGGATTCGGCCGATTAATGTTGGACCACATCCTCAGTTTCGGGTTCAGTACCTGGAGAGCTCCAGTAGTCAACCCCAGGTGCCACGATTAGCAGGCAAGCGGCTGCATGACCTTCATGAGCTTGTTTACATTCTCGCAGATAGTTGCAGAGTGTTTTGGCTCTAAGTCCATCCTTGCAATATATGCCTTGCCTCGGCTGACAGCTGGGTCGAGGACAAACACTGCTTGTCAGTGCCGTGATTCACCGTCAACACTGTCTTGAACTTCCAGGTTTGTTAGCACGAAAGCATGCAACACTGCTTTTACTATTCTATTCGGTTGGTGACTATGATGAGACATGATTGATGTGGCTGTACTGTTTCGAACTATTGGTGCGAGTCTACACAACAGCTGCTGCCATGCTGACTCTCAGTCTTCATGGTCGGTTGGCTGCCAAGCCTGCTGAGCTACATGTCATCTGCGTAGCCACCTGGAAGACGAGGGCCACTGCATGCCCGTACGCCATGCCTTAGGAATCGCGGGAAGGGTAGGGTCCGCGTAGGCTTAGGCTATCCTGTTCGAGGCGGCTGAGTTTCCGGCGGTACCTGCCAGCTTCCAGCATGCGTCCAAGCCGCTCCAGGAAGTCCTCAGCCGAGGAGTCCATTTCCTTGTCGCTTTTCCTTCGACAGTGACATGCTGCCAAGCAACGGTGCCTGCGAGCCAGGCATGCAGTGTGGCCTCAGCCGAGACTCAGCAAAGCAAGTGGCAGATTCGCGGCATGTCCAGCAGCTGAGATTGCCACAGCGCATGGCTTCGATTGAATTCCCTGCAATGCCAGCAACAGATTTTGCAACCTCAGGTGTGCTTCGCCATGTGGTCCAGCTTGATGCAACATCATGATTCAGGCAGGTCGCACACTGCATGGCCGATAGATTCCACCTCAAACGGCTTTATTGCACTGTTCTGAGTCTGCCCCCTGTTGCTGGGGCAGGGACACAAGAGGTCCTCCTCGTGCAGGCTCGCCTCAGAGATCGATTGGGAGACCGCTCCCACCAAATGAGAGTAGAGCTGAGCTTCGCGCAAGAAACCTTTGGTAGATTCTGATGACCTGATGACATTGGACCAAGAAGGCATTTCAGCAAAACGATTCCAAGCCTTTTCCCCAGCAACCCGATGGGACATACGGTACAGTACCGGACCTGCTGGGATCCTGAATGGAATCTTCTACCTCGCAAGCTCCGGCCCTCCAGCCTCTGCAAGGCCAGCGGCTCGGTCCAACAGCGCAGCCTAACAGAACACTCAGAACAGAAGAGCGCGTGAAGCGCGTGAAGTACATGTGGCATGGGCGCTCCCAGACCCCTAGCGGCCCTAGCTTGCAGGGTCAGAGGACCCTGTGCCACTTGCAGTGGCTAGCAAGGCTTCGGTCGAGAAAGGCATCTGTTGTTGCAGGCAGTGGGTCCGCCTGCAAGGTGCTGCGAGAGCCGGGTCGGACCTCGAGCGAACAGAAGGATGGGTTTGCAGCGCCGATTCTTCCGGGCCTACATTGACTACGGCCTGCAGCGGCTCTGCAAAACAAGCTGGTATTATCAAAGTGCTCTCTGCAGCGGAGCTTCATGTGCGCAGCCTTTGCCTGCCTTGCTCGTGTCCTTGTTCAGGGCTCGAAGTGCAATCTACATAACATTACATAAATTACGTATACAGCCGCAAAGAACGAAGAAAAGACCGTGCAGCACAGAGGCATCTGCCAGCACCTGAGCAGCCCGCACGCGGCACGGAAACCCAGCAACAGTGGATGCGAAAGCACCGAGGTGCCCATGTCAGAGCCCGCAGAGCGTAGCGCATCTCCTCGGGGCGCCAGTCCTGAGACGACGACATACTCGTGGGGGGATGTGGGGGGGACAGAGAGAGCGGCCTGGCTGAGGAAGTACCCTTTGATGGCCCGCTCTTCCTGGTGGCCCAGAGTGCCGTGACGCTCCACCACCTCGCAGCGAGCAGAAAGAGCTTTGAAACGAGTTCTCTCTGCACCACCAATTCGATGGCCTCCAGCAGGACGGAGCTGAAGGACTGAAGGAGAGATGCTGCCTCGGATGAGCGAACTGGCGAAGGCTTCCCGAGCATCGTAGGCTTCAAGTCTCCAGACAAAAACGGAGAACTGCATCCACACTCCTCACAACCCCGAGGCAGATGCCACACCGTGCTTGGCCAGGTGATGCTTGTGTTGCACAACACCTTACATTCAGAGGTCTTTCGCAATTGCGGCTGCTTCCTGCGATATTGCATGTCGCGCGTCTTTCTGCCAGAACGCATGGACTTGCAACTCCCGCTGGTATTTCGATCTTGTTCAGGATCTCCAAAATGTGCCTTAGAGACCGGCTCTGTATCTTACGACATGGACAGATGCATCGGAAGCACACACGGCCTGCAAACATCCAGTTGCTCCGAGATGCTTGAGCAAGCCGACCTGTCGTTCCAGGCTACCTGGCACCAGTACCAAGACGCAACTTCCGCCTCTCTGCTGCTCTCTTACAGCTCGTGTACGTATGCCAACTCTCTCGGCACTGGAATCTGTAGCCGTCACTCCGCGGCTTGTCGCAGGTGGTCCTGCCTGTGCCACCGGTTCGGCACAGGTGGATGTAGTCCTTCGTCTTCAGATACTCTGAAAGGATCGCTGTTCTGAAGCCTTCGACATGTCACTGTCAGTCTGTCCTTGATCGCTTCCCGCAAGCCCAGTGTTGCGCTTATCGCAGACGTCTCCGAAGCAAAGCTTCGCAGGGATCCTCTTAGTTCAGGTGCTTCCACGACAGGCTCAGCCTCTTAGCCGCTTTATGTCGCAGTGTCCTGTCGGGCAAGAGCTCCGCAGCTGCGCTGCTTCGACCATCTGCAGGCCCGGTAGAAGACTTGACAGGAAGTGCTCTGCACAGAAGTTGCCAGTCCGCCTTTACATCAACCACCCGTCCGGACCACTGCTCAGTCACGGAAGTGCTGTGGTCAAGGGCGGCATCCCAAAAGGCCTTGGGGCAGCTTTCGACACTCTCAGTCGGTGCAGGGCAAGGGAAGCCCCACAAGGTGTGATGTTTCCAGCCTTGAGCAGGCCAGCCCGCTCTTTTCGCAGTCCTATGATCGCAAAGTCCAAGATAGCACTACCGGATGACTGCCTGGCGCGGTGACGTGCAGCTCCTGTCATATGCTATTTAACTGCGTCAGATGCCTCAAGCTTGTCATACGTAACTGCCGCGAGAAGCCCGTCTTCCTCTCCAGCTCCGCCTGAAGGAGAGAAGGCCCTTGAAGGAAGCAACGGTGGCATCAACAAGCCAGAAGGCCTTCAGCTGTTGCTGCTCCCGTTCACCCAATGGTGCTACCTCAGCAGCTGGCAGCTAGCAGCTTGCAATTTGTGGCTTCTGATGGCAAGCGTGGTGCTGAATTGGATGGCGGCAACAGCTGGAGCTGAATTGCGACTGCCAGCTCTGGCTGGGCGTCCTTGTTGCAGTTCTCAAAGCTTCCTTTCACACTCCCCAGGCACGAAATGTGCTCCAATGTCCTCGTCCAGTGCCGGTGCAACTACCTGAAATCATTCCACCACCATCTTGCAGGAATCTAGCATCAACATGGAGTTGCCAAACTCATAAGACGAGTCGAGTTACTGCTACGGGCTTCCAGCTTCCAAGTTGTTGACACCTGATTGGGAAGCCCGGATGTCGTAAGAGAATGCAATGCAAAAACGCTGAGGCATTTGCGAGGTGCTGCAAATGCCGTTCTGGTGCAAAGATGCAAGCTTGGTGCCCAAGGCCTCCGGTCACGTGCACGGATGGCACATGCACGAGCAGCAAAAGGTAGTCGCAAAGGTTAACAGCTACTGGTAGCAGTGGTGTGGCGATGTGGTGGCAGCGTTGGTGCTGGTAGGAGGAGGTGCGGCAGGGGTTTGTATTCAGCAGCCATTGCAACGCCCCCCTGCCTCTGTCTCCGCAACAGCTGGTGCGTGCGTCAGTGTCCGGATCCTGAGCTCTCTCGAGTGCCCATGCGTGGGGGAGCGTGGCCTAGCCTCTATCTGGCTGCTCATCCCGCTCATCCCCTCCAGAATCAAAGATCTGTGTTTCTGTGCGAGATGTTTGCAAAACGACGTCATGCACACATGCAAACATGGGGACCCTGTACGTTTTGCTCGAGCGGCTGGAGCTCTGCCTCGCACCAGGTGGCCTTCATCTCAACACTTGCGATTTCCATCTGGCAGGGCTCAAGTCCAAGAAGGGCAGCCTCAAGCAGGTCAGGAGTGTGAGGCATCGACCGCTCCAAGCACACCCTTCGGAGCTAAGCCGTCTTCTCTTGCGTTTCTTTCTTCCCCAGGCCGGCAACGACCCCTAGAGGTTTGCCATCGAATCATGTCGTCCGCTATTTGATATCAGCAGTATGACATCTGTGCGTGATGGTTTGGGATGGTTCCGGCTTGCCCGAGATACCAGTATGGGTCGTGCGCCCTCCTGGTGTTTAGCAGTCTGGCAGCCATGCTGATCTTCACGGCAGAGGTCGTAGGCTTTGCGGTTGCTTCGGTGCAGCCAGCCGAGTGGAAGCGCACGCCGACCGTAAAGGTCCTCACATGACTGGCTCCAGCACCTTAACATCCTTATAATGTTCAGCAGCTTTGCTTAAGGGGTTTACTGTAAGGGGGTTGCGTCCCTTGCAACTCTGGATCTTTCTTTTTAAACACCTGGTGCAACAGTGCTCCTCGGTGTTGAGCTGAACTTTGTCGCATCTGCACTGAGGCCAGCCTCACAGGAACTGCACGACTGGGATGCCTTTCGCGCGGCCGGAATTATGGAATTGCAGGAGCCTCACATGGCTCACAGTGGGTTTGTTCTCCAATGCTTCTTGACTTCTCACAGCAATCAGACGAAGACAGAACATGGAAGCGGACACCAGCCATACAGTCCTGGTGCCGGATTAAATCGAGCTGGATGCCGTGGTCGAATTCGAAGTGACGGTAGAACTTCAATTTCTTAGGCAGGCAGACCCGTGTCAGAAGATGACAATGGGCGACATGGAGTCATGCGCAGAAGGGAGGCGCACTCAAATTTTAACTGCCGCCACAACACCTTCTTCAAGGTTGGCATGCGGTGCAAATGTAGCAGGCAGCCGTGGAGCACAGCCCTGACCTGGTCGGCAAGTGCCACCTCAGTTGAGCTCGCATGGCTCTCATGGAAGTCAGCGTCAGTTTTCGTCCAAAGCACATATCGCCCGTTTGGCACGGCAGAGCTGTCCTTGGTGCGGAGGCCGTGGAGCTGCACACTCCGACCTCTCCCTCTTGCTTTGAGCACCGCTAGGGTGTTCGCCTACCTCATTGCATACGGGTCTTGTAGTCTGAGTTCTGCCCTTGTCAGGCCTGCGTTTGGCATGCGATTCAGCACTCTGTTGGCGTCCCGCCCACTCTTGGACTTTGAGCCTTGCTACATCTTGCCACTGATTGTCCTTGCCATGTCGAGTCTCTGCACGACAGCATTTTCAGTACTTCGCGAGCTTCAAGGTTTGCTGCAGGCCAGCACTTGCTGACAAGATACCAGCCTTCTGTGCTCAGCTAGGTCCGCTAGAGCCGCTAGGATCCGCTAGGTATTGCCAAGAAGCATCGCCCAGGCCAGGGCCCAGGCGCCTGACCTCAAAGTCAATGGCATAGGCCAGGAATCCCGAAGCGACTCTGGCGGCCTCTGCCCCTGCCTCGGCAGCGCCAAAACCGACAGCTCTCTCACTTTCTGTGCTTTTGCTTCTGCCGAGCCCCGGCCTCGGAAGGCTTCAGCGTCCGCCTGAGAGGAACAACATGAAGAAAGCACATCTCACACAAAAACATCGTAGTTCCGCAGAGAAGGGATGGAGAGACGGAAGAGGCCATCGGCAAAGGGAGACCTCGCAGCAGCTTCGCTCGCAGCCAAGAAGCTGTTGAAGCTTTTCGGTCTGCGCAGATCTGGACCGTACACCAGTCACACGAAGCCAGAGTCCGTCGAAATGGAGAGGTTCCCTGTCCTGAGACCCGGAGTCCGGGGGTCAGCTGCAAGCTGGACTTGGACAAGCGAAAACAGTGTCATCCGTTGCAGTTAATCGAGGCAAAGAATCCGGCGGCCGAATAGCCAGGGCGGTTCCGCTGGCGTCGGGGATGCTGGACACCTTCAAGAAGAGCTAGACAGAGGCTGCACACAGCTTGGCATGGCTTTGCGATTAGATGTTATGACAGGGAGGATCCGGTTGGCCTGAAAAAATCGGGGATGGCCATTCCAGGGGCTTGGGTCGACTTCCTTTCGAGGGTTTTACCTGCCTGAGCATGCGTGCAAAAGAAACTCACATGCCAAATGTGTCAGCCGGTGCTCGCTGAGTTGACTAGTAGCCCGCATGTACGCACTGTGAGGAATGAGCCAAACGATACGCACTCATAACTACGGCTGTCTGCCTCCAGGTTCTCTTCTTTCAAGTGGAAGTCCAAGGCTTCCAGAAACCTCGCGATGCTTCTCCTACAGATGATTAGCTTCGTATTTGCAGCTTCCAGCCCAGGAGGTGCCAAGCCAAGCAACCAAGCTCGAATCTGCTGCTCTGCCACGGGCGGGCCGTACTCCAGGGGAGCTCTTCCACGCTGAACAATGTTGGTGTACCTCCGAATACAGCATCCGTGGACTGCGCAATGCCCCAGAGCATTAGACGCCTTTCACCAGAACTGCCAAGGTGCCCATCGAAGACTATGAAGTCGTCCAGGATGTCCTTAGATGTATCACTTCTCAAGCTCACAGAACAACTGCCGCAACAGTAACATGTAAACCACACCGGCAACAACGAACCGGAACCACAGAGGGTAGCATCCAGAAGGCATGGACCCTTGAACTCCAGGGCTCCACCTGGCTCTGAACAGAGGGACCAGCCAGAACCACCGGTGAATATTGGTGAATCAACGGGCTTGCGTTGATCCTCCTGCAAACAGTTGCAGAAAGTGCTCGTCTTTGGCTCGAGACAGCGTGATGACACGGCCCTCCAATCCTGCATGGTCGCATGTGCTCTTCCAGCGGCTTGTTGCTGGAGCCTCCATGTTCAAGCGTCATGTCGCATTCCGTGCTGTCTCTCTGTGCAGTGTCGCAGGGAGACACTACAGCACCCTGCCTAAATGGCAGCTGCTGGATCTGAAGAGCCTATGAGCTGCAACTGATGTGCTCTCAGACAATTAGGCGATGACTTGTGCTGTTTTCCATGTGCAAGCTGCTGGATCCCGATGTCGAAGTCAAACTCCCGAAAAAACGGCAGCCTTGGCCCAGCCATTCAGGGACGACCACTCAAGCCTGTGAGGCCCTAGCCCTGCACGTGAAAACGAGTTTTGCTGTTCGCCTGCCAGTGCAGCCGGGCAGCGTGCCAAACTTGCGCCTCACCGCCTGCGATTCAAGCAGAACAACGATTCACAGAGATCTCTCTGCTGTGACGACTGCTAAGCAGAACTTTTCCATGGCCTGGCTGTGGAATTTTCGAAGTGACGTAGCCACACGCTTGAGCTCTTGGCTTGCGTCGCGGGCATCATGCAAGATGACCTCTGCACTTGCGCACAAGCAAGGCTAAAACAACAAACATGTGCAGAACAATGCTCGCCTTGTATGCTGCGCGACCATAATTCCGACATCAAGGAGTGGCTTGCTACATGGTATTAAATTATATGGTACAAGACCGTGGAAAGCATGCGAATCCAACGCCTCCATCTCCACGGTGTACGAAGCCAGAGGGGTTTCAGACAAGATGTCCGACAGTCCTTTTAAGTGCAGGCTGGAACATCCTCGTATCATCTACGTTGACTCTTCATGACTCTTCCACGTCGGTCCTCTTCTGCAGCCGTCTTTCTCATCATCAGAAGAATCCGATGCAACCTGGCTTTTCAAACTTTTTGCCGGATACCGGGGAATCGGGTCGCAGCCTTTGCTTCGAGCTCCAGCTTCTCCGTGGCTTCTAAGAAGCCCGAGACCAGTCCGCTTCGCTGCTGACTTGCTGCCCGAAGCTGGACGCATCTTATCACCTGCGCCGATAGCAGCCGCTTAGCAGCCGCCTCTGCAGCCAGCGCATCCGCATCCTCTCTCAGATCCAGACGATGTCATCCTTCGCTATGCTACATGCCTGCGCAGTCATCGAGACGAGCCCTCCCTTCGTAAACAGGCTGTCTTCGATGCAAGTGGCTTACTCAGACCAGTCCTGGTGCAAGGCTTCCGACAGCATCTCTGCTAATAGCATCGGCCAGCCGTGGCCACGGCAGTGGAAGCTGCCGACCTGGATGCCAAGCTGCGCCCCCGATAAAGTTTGGTAACACAGATGCTTTGCAAGAAGACCTGCGCGACACGCAATATCACTGAAAGCCTCTCTTACGGGCGTCTGACAGTACTCTCATTGAAGCCAACGAGACAAAGACGTGCAAAGGCACCTTGCAGCGCAGGTCAAGGTGAGCCGCAACCTTTGGCCTGGGCGAGGGGTCTGGTGCTATAAATGCACAGCGTGCGCAGTCGGAAGCGTTGATGCTCAGCGTGTTCCTTGTCGTGCTGCAGAGGCGCTGGGCTTTCCAAGCATCGCCCGCCGGCTTCTGCTCCGTCTTGCCACTATGGTGATCGCATGTCTGGATTTCGCGTGAAACCTTTTCTGACATGGGCGGTGCCTACATGAAACCATCTAGTGAATCTAGTGACATTAGTATCGCTTGCTACTTTCGGATAGGAGGGCCGGATCATGCTATGCTGGTAACAGCTGCAGGCTGCACTTTGGTTTACCGAGCTGCGAAACCATTGATGAAGTACCTGACAATTGACCATGTGCGACACTCACAACCATCAAGACGCCAGACACATTCTCCAGTTCTTGTCAAGATGCTGCTTGAAAAATGGCAAATGTCCCCACCGTCGCAGCACTGCACTGCCTCGATAACACGAATAGATAGAAGTATATGAAAGGTCGGCACATTCATGAGTATGAAGCATCGAACACATGCGAACATCTTCTGTTCTGCCAGGCTCACCGTGGCGACGCTAGCCGCTAGCGTAGTGCTTGAGAACAATTTTGCTAGCCAAGCAACTATGAAGGCTGCGCGTGCCTTCCATGATGCACTGGAGGTCTTCTTCATGAGCCACCTGGACTGCTATGATGTGGCCGTTGCTTGACAACACAAGCACCCCTGCCACTGCCACCGATCGCTGGACTTGCTTTGGCGCAGGGCATCAAACACAAAACACGAGGGCTCGCAATTGCAAACTCCCGGATCTGCTCTGGTGGCAATAGGAGCCTAGTAGCAGTAGCAGCATTAGTATCAACACTGACAGTCGTAGCAAAAAAAGAACTAGTCAGGACAAATCCTGCTTTTGTCTCCTGACCCGGTCGAAAACACATACCTGAGTGCCAGCAAATACTGAGACCCGGCATCTTTCAGCAGCTGTAGGCTACGTAGCTACCATAACTCCATAATACTCCATAAGAAGTGCCAAGTTTACGCGCCATCTTTAGGGGAATGCCGGCTATAGTTGGAAGCCGATGATTCAAATCAAACACCACTTGGGCATGATCTGACATTGCAACTGGTGATGTTGCAGGCCACTTATATCTGCAATTGTTTTCAGCTGTCTTGAAGCTGCCAGTCGACTTCGAGATTACTGCTTGGCTTAAAGGGCTGCTCGCCCAACTGTGGCAACCGGCTCATTCAATAACTTTTCAATTGATGCCCTGTGACGCATCTGGAGAAGTCGATCTCAAGCTTCACGCTGTACACCAACCTAACTCGAGATGGTCAAGATCTTTGCGAAAAGACACACATCGAGGACTCGCTCGTGTTCTGCTTTGCCAGCGCTACTCTTCCGTGCATCCAAACGGCGTCGCTGCCGCCTGCATCCCTGCAGCGCCTGCGCAGGCTCCGTGCGAAGTTGCGAAGCACCCTCCAGAAGTGTCAGGCACTGCTTCGAGAAACGTGTACGGTGCACAGGCGCGCCAGGCTGTCGCTGCAGCTCGCTCCTTCATCAGCGATGTAGGATACGACAAGCAGCCGCGCTTCAAGACGGTTTCAGTGTAGGCTAGCTACCTGTACAAGCAGGCTAGTCAACTACACTCGGCAGCGTGTCCTTGGCATTGGTGCAACGTTCAGGATACTTAAGCGGGCCGGCTCGATGCCATGACAACGTGCAGGCAGTCCTATGTTGAGACACAGTCACAGGACCGAGGATTTCAAGCAGCGCAGTCCGCCAGCAAGGTCGCCAAGTGGGTGGCGCCGTTACCTGAGGATTTTACCGTTTTCTACAAGGAAGAGGCTGTCAGGGACCGGCCGGCCGTTAGCCCTCTGCGTGGTAAGTCAACGCATGAGCATGAGTCGAGCCACGCTTTATGGCTCCGAGTCGATCAACCACCTCGAGCTCCGCCCAAATCACGAAGTTCATGAAGCCTTGATGGCCCCTCAGTGCCGTTGCACGACACGAAACGCCGAGCTTTTCAAGGTCCACTGTTTCCTCCTCCGCCTCCTCCATGATTCCACTGAGACAAGCTTCTTCTGCTTCATGGCAGGAATGAATGCTCACTGTCATTATACTATATGTTCTGAACATGCAGCAGCACCGACTGAGCCTACTGTTGCAAGCCTGATGCAGGGAAGGTGGGGTGTGTTCTGCTGAAGGTGCCAATGAGGCACTCGCTGGAACGAAGTTGCCACGAGTGGCACTCGCCCATAACGGCAGTGGCGGTGTGAGCGCAAACTCGAGCAGGTCGCTTCACGGTCACGCCCCTTGCCATGCCGTCCAGGTTGCGGGAAAGGCCCTAACTCAATCGCAACATCTGTTAGAGTCGGCGTGCCTGAAGATGGCATCGTCCACATCCTTGCAGTTCTTCTGTCCAGCCATGATGATGTACAAACCCGGGAAGAGTCGAATGAAAAGTGGTACAAAACCATTGGATAGTTTTGAAATGTTTTGAATCTGATGCTGCTTCTTGGGCACGACAGCAGTCCATTCATGAAGGCCTCTCTGATGAAGAGCCCATAGGAGTTGCTGAATTGTACCTCGTCACATCGGACTCAATAGCTGAACACCAGGCGGAATGGAGACTCAGCATCTCATGCTGATTTCGGGAGCAAGGACAGGTTCATGCGGTTACAGCGATCGAGGGGTTCACGCGATTCCGTAGAACAGGGGGCCAGCACCTGGAAGTCCATGGTATATTCCTTGGGCTCATGGGCTCACGGACTTGCTGGTGCATCTCACACGTGGCTGCCCCAGCAGATGACAGCAGCCAAGCTTCTCTTGTCTTCAGCTGCCACATTTGAACGCTTGGAAACTCCAAACTCGTCAAGCGGAAATGCGACGCAATCTTCTTCAGGATGCGGAGGAATTCTGATGTGCAGCGGTGTCCTTGCATGGAAAGTGCGATCTCCGTCGCAAGCGTCTCTGAGCACATGCGGACCCACTCAAGAACTCTGTTGTAAACAGTGCTCGTAAAGCACCTATAAACAGGGTGCTCTGGCTTCGCGTTTGTATCCTGGCCTCCTTGCTGATGGAGCCAACCGCTCTCATCCGTGATATCCAGGTGGCAGCGAAGGGTGGACTTGCCACCTTGGCTTTTGTACTCGGCAACCTGCAATGCTACACATACGGGGGAGATGTCGAGAAGTGCTTCTGCAGACCGGCGGACGTGCGGTGGGTCCCGATGGAAGATGATAAACGGCAGACTCAATGACCTTTGATTGCAGAGCCGTCGGACTGGGCATGCTCGCGTGGCATAGCTTGAAGATTCCTTGAACATCCATAATCTCCCAGGGCAGCCGACCACAGGGCTTCCACGAAGATATGGCAAGGCTGGCAGAGGGGAAGAACCTGAGAACTGCCACTACCGAGGCTCAGCTCTGTCCAAATATTCGTGGTACCAGTTGGGTAGCTGCTTCTTCCAGCATTCAACTACTTCCATCTGGGGAAGTTCATCGAGTAACGGTTGAGGCAGAGTTTCTTAGATTTAGCCAAAACAAACTTCAGAAACGTTTGTTTGTCAGAGATAAACTAACTTGCAGGGCAAAGGTTTGTTTCGCCAGACATAAACTAACGCGCCATGGCAGAGGGAAGGGGGTGGGGTGGGGGGGGGAAAACAAACTAACTCCGAAACTCCGGCTTGAGGAG